AGCTGCTCCTCATAAGACTTACTCTCTAGACCTTTCACCAGCCCTTGCCCTTCTCTGGATGTGCTCCAGAACCTCAATGTCCTTCCTGAATTGAGAGGCCCAGAACTGGACACAAAGCTCAAGGTGTGGCCTCAACAGTCCCAAGTACAGAGGGACAATCACTGCCCTGGTCCTGCTGGACACACTCTTCCTGATACAAGTCCTCCTGGTCACCTGGGCATGCTGCTGGTTCATGTTCAGCTGCTGTTAACCAGCACCCCCAGGTCTTTTTCCACCAGGCAGCTTTCCAGCCACTCTTCCTCACGCCTGTAGCGCTGCACGGGATTATCGTGACTCAAGTGCAGGACTCACCTTGCCAAATCAAATAATAGAGGGCATCACTGAAGCTGCATGCAACTGAAAATCCATAAGCATCAATAATACCTAGAGAGAGAATATAGAATAAGAGCATGGAGCCTTTTCTTCCCCCCAGGTATTTTGTTTTCAGCTTCTAGCAAACAACAATTTAGGGGTTTCTTGAGCTGAAAATGACACTCAGACTCTTTTCTTTTTTTTCTGAATTTCTGCTCTGAGTTTGTTCAATGTCTTTCCACATTTCATTATATTTTCAGTTTCCAAAAAATCCCATGGCAATCCTGCATTGTGTGAAAAGTGTGTAAGGGATGAATGACTAGGTTACAAGTAAGGATTGGAAAATAAATAATGCATTCAATTTCAGTATTTTAGGAACATTTTTCAGTGCTGTGGCATTTTAAAAAATAAATGGATGAGCAGAACTTTTGAACTCTATACCTTGAATGTTAGAGCATTTAGACCACTTTATGCTCTGAATACTTAGGCTTAAGGACATAACACTGTCTCTTTTTTTTTTTCACTTTTACTATAAACCTATAAAAACTTTAGTATTTTCAGCATGTCAGGAAAATAGTCTATCTATACTGACAGTGTTAATGTTTTCATGTTGTTCCATCTGTTGATGCAAACTTTTGATGATATTCTCATGAAGAATTTCCCTTTGGGGAATGTGCTGTATGTATTTGATTTGCTTTCTATGGCATGTTTTCTAATATTGAAAGATATGTGATTTCTTTTTTATAATCCAGTAAAAACAAAACAATGGGTTCATGGCATATTTGTTAATCAGTTACACAAAGAGAGAATTTTATCTTTGGATAATTTTCTCATTTGTTACATTTTTTCCTCATACTGTTGATGTAGTGGCATTTTGCACACAGAAATAAATCAAAATGTAGTTGAAATAGATAGCAGCATCATTTTTCTGTTGATCTACTGCAATGAAAAAAGTGACATTGGGAAAATCAGAATACTCTGTAGATCACAAGAATGCCCCTGGACATAAATGTTGCAAGATGTACTTTCTGAAATGTTAAAAGGAAATTTGCAGCGTTTGGTCTGGTAAATTTTGCTGTGGGTTACATAGAACTTAACAGAGACCTCTCCAGAAACTGTACATACTTATTTCCTGGACTGTTATTCTTAGTCATAATGAAGAGCCACTGCTTGATGAAAACCTGAATATAGATATTAAGCTACCTAAAGAGGTAGCTTCACCTCTGAGCTTATCCTTTCCTGGCACACAAATCAAATTAGTTTGTTATCACAGGGGGAAAGCAAGTCGACGCAGAAAATGTTATAAGATGTGTGTCTAAGACAGGTGAGATGAATTACATTCTGAATGTGTCCCATTTCTTTACTGGAGTTAAAGAAAACAGTTTTTCTTTACAAACAGACTTTGTAACCGAAAATGTCAAAGGACTGTCTTTGGTTGTGAGCCAACCTGATGTGAATCGTTTGTATCTGTATCACTAAACTCTCTTACCTTCTCAACAGATTTGCTGTGCTGACTACCTTACCCCCAGACCACGCCAACCATGCCAGAGGATTAGCCATGGACAAGGCACTGAGAAACCTACTTTGACCAGCAAATTAGACCACATAATCCCCAGAGACACCTTCCAACCCAAATCATTCTACAAACCTTTGATTATTTGGAAGACTACTAGCACCACAGACCTGACAGTGTGTATAGCAATAGCCTAATACAAAGGATCACATTGCATAAACCTCAGGCTCTTTGGCTGATGTAGAATAATCTATAGACTAAATATACAATGGGAACACAAATGTTAAAAAAAAAAAAACCTGATCTTTTCTTGTTTGCACATTTGATTTCAGTAAATAATGTTTTCTGACCAAATCTATTATGCTGAAATTTCTGTGCATCCCTAGTAAAAGCAGCAATTTCCTTATTCTTTGGTATTGTGATCATTTTCCTGAAGAATGGGGAAGCTGTGATTCAGGCTTCTAAGGTATAAATGGCAAAAAATATACTATTAATAAAAAAGTCTGTAATCATTGATGTACTCCTGTAAGTTCAAATTACTGTTGCAGTGCTAGTATTGTAGTGTTGCAGCTTGTCAACTTGTACTATATTATGTTGGATAGCTAGGTCTGGCAGTATCCCATGTAAAAAAAATTAAAAAATAGGTGAGAAAAAATCATGAAAGTATCATACATCCAATTTTGTGAGTCTGAAGGTACAGACCTCATCCATCTTGATCCCATCCAAGACAGCTTGAAGTTCAAACTTTAACCAAATATCACAGTAGGAGTAATTGTCTTTACAATTACAGCAGACTCATAGATGTAGCCTATGACTTACACTTTGGTAGGAAGTGCAGTTCAATAAACACACATAATGTTCTACAGAAGTTGGGTATGACAAAAAATCATGGTTCTTCTCAAGTTAAAATAATTTTCCTCCAGAAGTTATAAGTGTAATTTTAGCACACGTGGCTGTATTCAAGACATCCACCATGCTCACACTTTGATAGTAGCACACCTGTGGCAGGGTGGATGTGCAGAAACCACAGCCGGTTCTCAGGGCTTCACATGGGGCTTAACAGCACATGAAAGCTGTGATTCTTCACATCTGAGCTGAGTAATCAGGCCTGCATGTATGAACACAGCCACACAGCTGATGCCACTCCAGACATCCCTGTTGTTTTCATTAGTACAACAATATGACAGAATAAAGCTCTGCAGCACACTGAAGAATGCGTATTGATATGCATAGTGTTTATTTGAAACTGATATCAGTACAGGAAGGTATGAGGGGAAAAGCAGGTGCCAAGGCAGAGTTTGAGAGGGGTATGGGATTTGTTCAGAGAAAAAGAATAAAATGTAAAGATGATCACAGGCTGTCTTGCTCATTCGAATTTTTTTTAAAATACTGCTTTCCTAGATATGCACTGCAATTTTTTTGAAAAATTTTAAGTAGCTTATTAATATGAGCCTGAATAATTTTGGTTCCTAATTCATTCATAATCTTTGGGGATAATCAATATTTTATCAAACATTTGTTGAAAAAATAGAGCCACCACGGTGGTCATGGGGCTGAGCAGTTAGCTTATAATGGGAGGCTGAGGGAACTGAACATATTCAATCTGGAGAAGAGATGGCTCTGAGAGATAACAGCAGATTATCAGTAACTTTGAGGTGCTTATGGAGCCATACTGTTCACAGTGGTGTATGTGGCAAGAGACCGAGACCATGTCTCAGGAGTTGAACTAGGAGAAGTTCAGACTGAAAATAAGGAAAAAAAGAAACCACAAGGACAGTCAAGCATCAGTACTAATGAGGTTGTGCATCTTTGGAGGTTTTCAAGACACAACTGGACAAATAGCTGAAGAAGCTAGTGTGATCTCATAGCTGATCATGCTGTCAGCAGAAGGCTGGAATAGAGGCCTCTTGAGATCCCTCGCAATTTGACTTATCCTATGCTCCTATGATCTTGAACATTAATTTCCACAAAAGTGTATTATAAGCCGGATGTTGTTTGAAGCTGGCTCCCTGCCAAGTCTCCAAACCTTACTACAAGAAGTGTGTCCCCCCCTCCCCCCAACCCTCAGGGAGAAGAGGAAAAAAAACCAAGAGAACCGAAATGAGAGAGAGACAGCTAAAGCAATATATATAAATATATTTACACTTATATTACAATTATATACAATTGAAATATATATATAATTTCAAAAGGAAAAGGGAAAGGGAAGGGGGAAGGGAAAAAGGAACACAAACGAAATAAAATATACACTATCAATAGCCCAAGATCTAGCAACTAAAAGAATTAGCAAAAGAATATCTTACTACTCTCCTTGGGACAACGGAAAGTCACACTGGAACAACTGCTGGCAACCCCTGCCTCCCAAGGTCGGCAAGGCCTTACCAGGCCTCGCTCCCCAACACGACAGACTCGACAGCAGGGAACCTGCACCTCCAAAGCCACCAGAAGGAAAGAGAGGGCTAAGGCCTCTCCTCCTTTCTTCTTATACCCTAGTTTATGTAAAAATCGTAGGGAATACTGGGTAAATCTGGGCACTTCCTTGGTTACAAACTGGTCACCAAGGAAGGCCTAGACCAAACTACCACAAAGCCAAAAAAGGTCTAAGAAAGTATTTTAATATTCTTGGCATTCTAAAGCTCAAAAACAAACAATTTCTAAAAAATTAAATTTCTAAATGCTTTTCCACCATAAACACCTATATTAATTTTTTTCTCAAGCAACTGAAATTATTTCCCTGCTAAGAACATCCTGAAAACTCCATGGCACATCCCTTTGTTAGAGATTGTTAATATGCTTTCCTTTATTTAGCACTTTACTACATCTTATCTTAAGAAAACACTTAATTCTACAATGTGGAAGGTAATTTTAAGGAGAAGACATTTAGTGAAATGAGTTGATATCGATTTCACTAATTAGTTCTGAAAAGAATCTCATTGAGAATGCAAAAACCCAATCCTGCAGCTGTGGTCAGTGTGGGTGTTGATTGGCAGCTTTTTGTTTGTTTTCAATGATTGTTCTTTTATGAAGCAATAAAACAAAGGCTTTGAACAAGTTTAGGGTAGAAAAGTTTAGGTGACTCCATTCCTGTGGAGTCACATAATCTTTAATTTATAAAAAGCTGAAGAGAACTTTTAAGTTCTGTGGTACAAGCAGAGCAAATTGATCAGCAAGTGTTTTATTTTCTCTTCATTACAACACAGATTGGAAAACACTCTCTGACAGAAGAAAGCAAAAAATACAGACTGGTGGGGGAAAGGATGATTAGGGTCCAATCATAACAAAAGTCTCAAGTCAAGTGGATATCCTTACTGGAAAAAAAAAATGGAATGGTAACTCAGGTAAATGATAGAAAAATGAAAATGTAAGTTGCAAATGAAAAGAAATCTGGGGGGTGGGGAGGAAAAAGAAATATTTTTATGATACCTTTGAAATACAGAAATAGAAAAACTGTGTATAATAAATAACCACACTGGTTGTACTTGAGGGAAAAAAGTTGTAAATGCTTGGATATAAGATACAAATATTGGCCTGTTGTCAATAGTGCCCAACAACAGAGAACCATCAGGGCATAGCAAGTCTGCAGCTTACCCAAAGCTTCTTCCCAGCCTCCAGCAATTTGTAACTTGAGGACTTCCTGAGCAAGAAAGCCTTTTATCTGGCTTCTTTATATTCGATAAATATTATAGGATTTTTGAGATGTTTCATGAACCCACGTAAAATTTATCATCTATAATGACCCATGAGAAGGAATTAGCACCTAAACTACACACCATGTGGAGCATGGTGGTTTTGAACCCATCCCCTGTTGGAATCAGCTGAATTTTCTAAGCCTTTCTTGATCTTCTGCATGACACTGAGGATCTATAAAATCTGAAAGACTTTCATTATATGTTATCGTTATCCCTGCCTCCCCCAGAAAACTTCTTCCCAGTCTCGGCCTATGCTTCAGTCATCTTTATGATCCTCTCTGCATTTTTTTATATAGACTTTCTGAGACAGGAAAACCAGATTATGTGTAGTATTTAAGATGTGAGCATAAAATATATTTTTACAGTGATATAAGTTGATGGGTTCTTCTCTATTCCTTTTCTAAAATACCTATAATATATTTGCTTTGTTGAATCTTAATGAGCATTAAGCTGATGTTTTCACAAAGTTGTTACAAAGTTAGATATTCTCTCTTAATGCCAATATTCAATCTAGAGACCACCATTGTGCATATTAAAATAAAAAAAAATCCTTAATTTTTTACAGATGAACAACTTTTCCACTGACCTTCCTTCACTTTACCTCTCTTTTGATGGCTGCTCAACAGAGGGGATTATAAAGTAATACAGCAATTTCTTTATGCTGAGTTAAGTCTCAGAATGGATTGGTAAGATATATTCTTCAGACCCGTACAAGTAATATACAGGCAATGTCAGAGAACAGGTTAACAGTGAAGTACTAAAACAAATTGATTAACAGCTGCAAGGTTTGAAAGCCAGATGAAACACTCCAGAAAGTTCCAGGGGAAAAAAAACCAAAACCTTACTTTAATCTGCTATTATCAGGGAGTACTGGAGGATGGAAAGTACTGTGATTGTCCTTAAGAACTGCATTGGTAATGATCCAGAACTACAAACTAGTAAGTTTTACTTCAGCATTGGGCAAATGGAGGGGGAAATGGAAATCAAGTTTGAGATTACCTAGATAAACCTGTGATGCTGGCAACCTTCTATTGCTCTTTATAGAGGAAACCTGCGACTCTCTAAATTACTTTAATTTTTCAAGCAAGCTAGCAAAATTTAATTAAAACAAGACCTGATTATAGGAATTATTAGCTTTTAAAACTTTTACAATATAGAATTTTACTATTCCTGGCATTAAGAAGTTGACCGGTATTTTACCAGAATTAATAAAAAATTAAAAATTTAGTAACTGTTATATGGGAGGTAATAAAAACCTGATAAGTGTTGGTTTTTACATAAATTTAACACAGAAATCTAAGACTATAATTTAGTTGTTTGCAGTCCCTCTCTATTCAATAGAGAGAAATATGTACATTCAGATAATGATTTATCACATCCTAAACCAAATCTCATATAGGTCAGAGGAACTGCTCTTTGGAAATATGTCTCTCACATTGATGATAGATAGAGTTCAAAGGAGTTAGTGAGATCAATTAACTAAATTTTAGATAGTCAAAGTCAGTGAGAGGATTCCCTCTCTCTACAGCGACACAGAGAAGCCATTGTGTAGTACCACCAGCATTGTACAATACTCACATTGCACTAGCCTCAAATATTGGATAGAGTTATTGATCTTTTTGTGTTAAACATACACAAGCCCACAAAATCTGTCTTGTCTGAGATTATGAAATTAAATAGATTTAGTTCTTCAAGTGAATATTTGATTTCTAGATCCACATGACTTTAGCATCTCTGACTATCAAGGCATCCTTTCTGGAATAGACTGTCCTCACTCTTGTGTGACAGAAAGGAAATCAAAAGGAAAAAAATATCCATTGTGAGCTATGTGACCTTCAAGGATTTATGCAATCAGCATAATCTCTGCCTCAATGAGTTATACACTCACCTGTGCCACAATGCCGGGGATATTTCTGTTTAGTTACTAATTCAGTTTATGAATTATATAACTAAATCAATGGCTCCCATTACTTGTAATTTCAGCTATCGACTTTTCCTTTACTTCATATGATTCAAGTGAAGAAATTGCCTCACTGAAGAGGGGGGAAAAAAAGGCAAAAAAACCCCCAACTTAAAACAACAAAAGTGAAATGAAGCAGAGTGAAAAGAAAGTGGCTTGCAGCTTTTTCAGGCCTGAGATAATGCATATGGTATGCTAACAAATTACAGGGAACAGTAGCATATCTTTCTGTCATGAAATGCAATTTGTGTCAGGAAATCATGTTTCTACTGATCACAAAGATCTAGAAGTACTAGACGATTTAATGCAAAGTCACATGTTCTTGGGATTTTTATGATCTGTAATTCGTTATATAGAAGTCTCAGAAAAGGGGATTTTTCCAGCCCAAGTGTCCCTGGATCTGTAGGCTCGTTGGACCTCTGAACCCTAACCCAAATTGTAATGGCCACTATGAGCTTAGTCTGAGGTGCCCATCACCATTGGTGGTCCAGATCTAAAAAGTGTTGAAGGAGAAATGTTGGTACAATGCTGAGCTCCCCTTGGCATGTGTTCTCCAGCACCAGTGTCCCTGGAGCTGTAGGTTTTGTGGTTTTCTGAACCCTAACATTAATCACTGCTATGAGCTGAGGCTGAGATCTCCATGGGTGTACCAAGACTTAAAGTACCAAGTACCATGGGTGGCCAAGACTTAAAGGAGCAATGTTGGTGTAGTGCTATGCTCCCCTTTGTATGCCTTTCCCAGACCCACTGTCCTTAGAGCTTTGACTTTCTGATTCTCTGAACCCTAGCTCTAACAATAATGGTGTCTTTTGTCTGCAGATAAGAACTCCAGCACCATGGATGGGCCAGATAAGAAAGCTGTAGAAGGAGCAATGTTGGTGGAGTGCCATCCTCCATTTGGCATGCTGTTTCTGGCTCTGAGTAACTTGAGAAACTCAGAGCCATTTCTGTCTCTGACTAAGCTGGTCTAGTGGAAGGTTCCCTGCCCACGGCAGAGGGTTTGGAACTAGATGATATTTAAGGTCCCTTCAAACCCAAACCATTCATGATCGTATGAAAACCGTGAGCAAAGCTTATCACCAAGCTGGTTTTTTGTTGCTTGCAAAGAACTTGTAGATTTGGTCTTTCACATCATATCTTTTGTAAGTAGTAAGTTTATGTGGCACCCACACATTTAGTCTGATTATATTAGTTTTCTCTTTTTCTTATTTAAGAGTAACAACTGAAGAACCCCCTAATATCAAAGATTTTTTGATTTTGGTTTAAGCTGGATGCAGAAGCATCCCTAGTCTGAGACCAGAAAAGAGTCAAATGTCTTCTCAACATGAATAGACAACCACATAGCTGTCTACATACACAAGTGTTCCCATCTGCAACCTCACTGCTCTGTGCCAGGAGGAACAAAGAATACCAACTGACCACACTTTGCACGGCCTGCTTCAAAGTTCTACTCTGAGGAAAATAAAGCAGGTACTTCAGCCCACACAGCCTGCATCAACCTCTACCAATGCAGAATAAAAATGAGGAATTTGTGGACTCTTTTCTTGAAAAGCTATTTAACGTTAAATACCTAAGCTTACCTTGGAGACCAGATACCATTCTCCCCTTTGCTAATGCACACCCTACTCTGAGCTGTGGTCATCTTTCCTCTTGCTTTTTCTCCCTACAGGCCTGTGAAATTTGTAGAGCTACTCAACTTTTGAAGATGAATAGGATGTTACTTCCTCATTCTGTCCCAGCTTGAGGTCATTCCAAGTTTCACAGGGTACCTAACTCAAGTGTGTGAATGGTACCAAAGTTTAGAAGATAAGGAACATTTCAGATTCAATTGTCACCTGTTTCCTACTGTGTGGTTTCATTGACCCTCTCGCTACTGGATATTTGAGCACTTATAGCTGCCCCAGGCTCCCTGGTCAGCACACAGGAAACTCAGTAGAGTGAACTGCATTCCTAGAGTTGGCTAACTAAAAGCTGGCTATTTAGCAAGATACAATTCAGGTCCTTTCTGGTTTGAGTATTCAGAAAAGAGGAGGCTATAAACCATCTTTAGATATTTATTGTATATGTAGTCAGTAGTTCACACTGGTGGGGTTATTAATGTTCCTAAAATAGCCTTTCACTATTATTGATAGGAGAATAGAAGAGTCCCTCCAGGGCCTTTTGGCAGCAAGCCGGATGGCAATGACTTGCTTAGGGTTGTAAATTTCTTAAATGAAGGTGGCAAACAAAAATTTTTACCAGCAAATACAGCTTTTTTTCCAGGCAGCGTTTAGAGTTAAAAATAAAACTATATGATGCATACTGCAATTTAGGTAGCAGGTGCTTTTCACTGCCTAATTTGAAATGGATTATCCATAACTAGATGTATGCCTAGTGCTTTCCAATGAGAATCATAGAATCATGGAATATTAAAGAGTTGGAATGGACCTTAAAGATTATCTAGTCCTAACCTCCCTGCCATGGGCAGGGACACCTCCCACTAGACCAGGTTGTTCAAGGCCTTCTCCAACTTGGCTTTGAACACTGCCAAGGTAAGGGCATCCTCAACCTCCCAGGGCAACCTTTTTCAGTATCTTCTCATTCTCACAGTAAAAATTCTTCCTAACATCTAACTTAAATTTCCCCTCTTTCAATTTATACCCATTACTCCTTGCCCTATCGTTGTAGCTCTTGATGAAGAGTCCCTCTCCAGCTTTCTTGTAGGCCCCCTTCTGATACTGGAAGGTTGCTATGAGGTCTACACGCAACCTTCTCTTCTCCAGGCTGAACAATGAGGACTGAACCTTGACTAAACTGTTTACTTATTTTGATCATTAGCCCAGAACAAATGAAAAAAATCATTACCGAAAGCCATTACTGATAAGGTCTGTGAGATAGAGATGTAAATAATATAAAAGACAGAATTACTGTCTTACAGAATTTTCAAAAAAGCCAAGTATAAAGTCACTTATGAAGGCACTTATAATTTAGACTTTGTCAAGAACATGGATTTCCCTTGCTAAGGTCTGGGTGAGCCTTAACCATTTGCCAATTATGGGACCAAAAAAGCTCATACAGTCTTGCAAGTACATGCAGGAAAACATGGAGTAGAACTAGCAAGTCTAACATCCCTCTGTTTTAAACACTGACAGTGCTCTTATTGAAGCACTTGCTTTACATCTTATATCTGCAATTCAAGCAGGAAGTTTTTGAGACGGTTCAGGAAAGAGTCATTCATATACATTCATATACATGATTAATGAGAAAATTAGCATCATTGACATGCAAAAGTTCCAAGAGAAGAAACAGAAATATGATTACTGAGAAGGCTCTCATCCAGAAAGTACCTGCAACATCTGGTGAAGGTGTTTGACTGAAGGTGTAAATTCAGGTGTGATATTTTATTTAGTAGTGAGGCTATTTAACAAAGTTAAATAGCGACATGGAGGGCAAATTTTACTGTAAATTAAGTTAAAATTAGATGTGGTTTTCTAAATATGTTCAATTTCAATCACAGCTATTTGATTTTTTTTTCTTTTTAAAGCATTACAGAGAATGTGAGAGGTGGATTATCAAAATATTTCCCTTTTGTGTCTAAAATCTGTGAACAATCCTACTCTCCTATTCTGGAGTGGGAAGGGGAATGTGCTCAAAGAGAGAGACTAAAAAATAAAACAGAGCTAATGGCAGAGAAATCAATTATGCTTTCAGAAATCTCTCTGTTTTGTAAATGTGATTTAAGTAAGCAAGATGTACTCTCACAGAAATCATCAGGCAGGTTGTTTTAAAGACTCACTTCATTTTAAACTGAATTGTTTTCCATACCAAACCTATTTGATCCCAGGTCTCCCACATCCGTGGAATGAATGCACCTCAGCTGTTGAACCACTGTCAGTGCGACCTTCATTTCCCAGTAGTATAGGTACTGCTGGGATGGAAAAGAAAAATTACAGAGCTCCAGGTTTAAATGATGCTTTCTGAGCAAAGTACACAAGCTGGAGAAAAGCCCCAGAAGAGGACACTTCTCTGTACTGACACTTCACACAAAAAAGGAAACGGGAAATTTTGGCTGAACATCTGCTTCAACTGTCCACAGCAACGATTTCAAGTCAAGATTTCCAGCTACCAGGAGGACACTGGCAGGTTGGACATGTTGGCTTAGTGAGTTGCGTTTGCTCTCGGGATACATGCAGTATCAGAACAAGAGAGTTATGGAACTGCTGCACTGGGGCTTTCACTCGAGCAGATATTTCCAAGAGCTTAATGTCTTCAAGGAGATGTTGAGTTTTTTAGCCTTTAGCTGGTAGAAAGAGGCATTTCTTGGCTACCTCATCTACGCTCTGGCAAAGTCCTATGCCTAATTGTTAATGTAGATGTTTTTGGCAATTCCTTCAAATGCCAAACTGCTGATTTGAACATGAGAGTTGCTGGTTTCCACATTCAAGGATGTGTATATGTTATATCAAAGAACATGACGCACACACCTTGGTGGAATTCTTTTCCACCAGGAAATCTCTTGCCTTCTTTGAAATCTAAGAAACTATAATATGACTTCTTTAGTTTTGGACTTAGCTTCCCTAAAAGACGGACTTCAGCCTTGACAATTTGCCTGAGAAAAACTTACTTTCATCATGAACTTGCTTTCAGAAAGTCACGTCACAAATGCAACTGAGCAAAAGAAAGTTTACATTCCTCTTGCTTTGAACAGTGCATCTCAAAGTTTCTAATTTCAATTGAAATTCATGAGTCACACAGCCTTAAAGCTCCAAACAAGATTCACCGGAAATCTGCATTTCTCTATATGAGGTGTTCATTTTATTGTCATTCCTCATAATCAGTGACAAGCAGAATATCAGAAAAATCAGAGGGAAAAAGAATTCATTTCTGTTTTGCATGATCACAGCCAATAACTGACAGCCTCACACGAATTAGTTTACTGTTTCTCCTTTTTAACATTGGTGCTTCTTTTGTCTCTGCCCTTTATGTTCATTTTGATTGCTGTCTGGAAAATTTACAACATTCAGGATTGGTTTCTGGTTATTGCAATTTGATTTTCCCTGTGCTTGGCTAATTGCATCTTTCATTTCTCACAGATCATTCTGTGAACAGATGACAACAGAAATTAGTTCCTTCAGAAAAAATGTTTTTGCAGTCCTAGAACTCCAACCTCGTGAAAGCCTTCAATATATTGTTGCACCTTTATTTTAGAAGAATGTTTCTATATATGTTTATTTATTTGTAAATTCTATCAAAAATGGAAATTTACAAGAACTTAGCTGACTTACTGACTTAAAAACACATATCCTATTAAAAGCATATGGGATTGTAGAGAAGCTTATGAACATCCTAAAATTTAAGCAATTGCTGTTCGGAAACAGAAAGGTCTTGTGAATACAGTGCTCCTTTCTATAGCCCCCTAAATCCAAGGCTCTAAGTGTGGTCCCTTCAAACTAGCAAGAACTAACAGTGCCAAGAGAAGCTGCCTGACCACCCCACTGGCCTCTCCCTGCGCCACTACAAGTATTTTCATGACCTTATGGTAAACCATGTTGTGGAATGATTGAAACTAAATGTTCACTTGTTTGGGCTGTTTTTTGATTGGTTGGGGTTTAATTTTTTTTCCAAGGTTGCCTCTTCAAAACAGAGCTCTTGTACAACTTGAAATGACAGAGAAATTATAGAAAAATTACTGAAATAAAAAAAAATTCCAAACTGCTGGATAGCAAACACAACTTTGATAACACGGCCTCCATACCATAACAACCAGGACTGTCTTGCCAAGCATATAGCAAATAAGTCAAACTGTAGCAATGGTGTCTGAATATTTTGACTGATTTAGCCTGGATCAGACTTTTGCTGGTAATACCTTCTCTTGAACCTCACTAAGTGGGCATGCACAGGGTCTAGACACCGTCTCCCAAACTTAAATAAAGACAGTAGGGTTTTTTCATCTACTGTGATCCCAATCAATTCCTAGTTGTGGTAATACCACTAAAACGTGTCATATTTTCTATGTGTCTGTGAACTCATGGTAACTGGAGATATTCAACAGTTCTTGAAGGCACTATTCTGAAGATAGCTTTTCTATACCTCTTCTCATAATTGCATTGCTTCCTGCTTCTTATACATCCTTTCCTGAGAGTATTTACATAGTCTTGAATTAGCTAGTTTTGAATAAGGCTAAAAGAAATGTCATTCAGAACAGAGATAAGTACCGTGTAGGCAGTTACCTAGAAAAATAGCTAGCATGTGGAAAATTTGGCAGAGGGTGGGGATAGAATGCATCTTGTATGTCTGTGGCATCTCAAAACCATTAACCTGTCATTTGGGATTCCCCTCCAATCAACCAGGCAAACTATTAACGACCATTTGTGTCTCACACTGCAGAAATCCCCAAGAAACAGATTTAAACTAATAAATCCAGAGAGACTAGAACAGAACAAACAAGTCCAGAAACAGCATAAATACGTCCAAAAATGTTCCTGAGCTGGCAGGTGAAAACATTCATTTCATTTCCAGTTTCATACTAGTTTTCATGTGTCCAGGATACGGTCACACATAGCTACACACACCTTTATATATGAGCTAAGGGGACTTCTGACAAGTCACCACTCGTGTCCATGATTTTAGCAAATTGAGGGATGTTGGTGAAGTGTTTCCATTCAACTGCAACAACTGGTGCATCCTGTTGTTTTACAGGTTGCAGACTTGCAGGATTTCAGCCTGAGAATATTAGTTTTGAGCAAGTTGTTGTCCTTCTTTGCCTTTCAGTTGCTTGAGGTAGAATTCAATTTGTCTGTCTTTTAGTACCTGAAAAGTATAAAAGGATAAAGTCTATAATAAAGAAACATGGCTGATAAGCTCAGGCTTAGATAAGTATCATCTAAAGTTGAATAATGTGTCCCATTTTTAAGGTGTTTTGAATAAGCTATCAATCTTGGCTCAACTTACTTTCTTCAGAAATCATCCAGAGCTGTACCATTAAATCTTGTGGAAGAAGTATTAGGCAAGAAATGGAATTCTTGCCTAATGGAATTAGGCAAGAAATTCATCCTTGTTAGAGAAATTTGAAACCAGCAAATGCAGGGCAATCTGCATTCTACTGTATGTAGTTACTTTACCATAACCAAGACATGAAGGATGCAATAGTCCGTGAGTGTCTACAGTGACATATACATGTGAAGGACCTAGATCCGTCAAAAGAATAAAAGATGTTGCAATTCCATAAAAAAATTCTTTATTCTAAAACCACATTAAATCACAGAAAATGTCTTCCATATGAAAAGATGTTTTGTGATACAAATCTCAAAGAAACTGTACAGTCTGCAGAAAAATGCCCTGTTCATCTACTTGCAAGAAGAGTATCATTTAATACACATTAGTGACTGTATTCTTAGCTTCATATTGAGCAGCTGAACATTTGTTTTTTTCTATACTGACTA